ACTAAAAACATCAAACCTAAAACTTCAATAAATAAATAAATAAAACAAATCTATGAATTTAGATAAGTCTGTTGTTGGATGACATTATTGTGACACAGTGTCTAACCATAAAAATGGTATTTTAGCAACAATCCATCCAATGGAGTCTCATGTGAACAAACAGATCCAACCGAAGATTAGTGTGAAAACAGTCCATTTCCACTCAGTTGTAATGAGACAATACGAAGACTCATATATTAATATAATATTATAATGCGTAGGTCTCCAGATAACTTGTGGGAACATAGTCATAAATGTTTCAGTAGGGGAATTTGTGAACAGTGGTGACGTAAAGTTTCACTACAGCTAGATTGGTGGGTTGAAAAGAGGAAGGATGGGTACGGTCTGTCCTCCAGCCTGAGCAGGAACAACAGATCATGTTGATTCAGCCCAGCGCAACACACCCTCTTTGAGTTCATAATATCTTTAGGCAGCAGCGAGCAGGAATCAATTATGAGAAAATACAAGAAAAGAGTGTTCCTTTAAAAGGTATTTACTGGTGCAGTTATTCTGATAAATGACATTAACTCAAACTCATAACTTAGTATCTCGAAGCTGATAAAAAGCAGAAATTATGCCTTGTATTAGGATTTATTGCGAGTCTCTTTCAAGTTTATCATCTTATGCTGAATGTTATGAGGTAGTCTGTTGCACATTATGTTCTCATTAAGTACACCTTGTACCAGGATTGTAACCACATGACACTGAGGGTGGTGCCCCCCAAAATTCCTAACAGTGGTCGATCGGCATGGGTTTTCAAAGCCACCCGTCCCCTCACCCCACCACTCTTCAAAGATTTGCTTACATCTTTGCCTTGTACACATTTCTACCCTAGTGAAAAAAAAAGAAATGTATATATATATATATTCTAAAATGTATTTGAAATACATTTATTTTGTGCTATAAGTATACTACAAATACATTTACATATTTATGTGCTTAAGAAAAATACCCTGCAATTGTATTTTTGATATACTACATTGGTATACTTAAGGTCTGCTAAATTGGAACAACTAATTTTGTGCTTAATGCACTTTAATTGTGCGGAAGTAGTGCTGAGGTCCAACTATAGATCTACTCAAGTATATTTGATAGTGCTGAAGTGGAACTATTGCAAGTATACTTGAGGTACACTTTAAATATCTTGCATTTAAAGACTGATATTATAAAGAGATTATGCAATCCTTATTAATAGTGATATTAAAGTATATTTTAGGCATAATATTAAAATATGCATTGTGCAATAAATAAATACTTCAAATAAAGTTTAATTATAATTTTATATCACTAAGTCTTAAGTGAAATATCAATAAATATCTTAATGGATTTGAAGTATACTTAGAATGAATTAAATGTATTTTAAATAAATTATGGCGTAGGATTTTTTTTTTACTAGGGTATCTAGTGATGCATCAAAGTAGAGCACCTTGGCCTTGCCCTTAACCATAACCAAAAATCTTGGATACAAAATACAATATATACAATTAATTGGATATAACCAAACAAAATAAACAAGTAAAAAAAGACAGTTGCATTTGACAATTTCTGCTGTCTAAAGATGGTCACAAATCATGAGATTAAACACAATTGACAGCTATAATTTATGTTTCTCCTCCAGTTTATTTGGTGGCCTGTGGCATCAAACCCCCAATCTAATTATTTAAAAATAAATATATTATTTAAAATCCCCTGCACTAAAAACCAAGAAATCTTTGGCATGAGGACTTTTATGCACAACTAAGAAAATGGAAACACTAACTGAATTTGCAAAGTTGTTTGCATTTTGACAAAATATCTTACAAGTATTAAAAGAGTTGTAACAAGCACTGGATTAAAATAACTCCAGGCATTTGTAAGGGTCGGCAAATAAACAGGGTAATTCTGAGGTTGTGTTAATTATTGAAGTGTCTAAAAGAGTCACAGTTTCATGTCTATTTCAATGCAACAAGTCTGATAAACTGCTGATTGAACCAGTGTGAGATGAAGAAAATCCTGTAGTGGGATCAGAAATACACACATGCCTGGTGGGGTCTCGGTTTACTTCCCTTCTGCACTAAATTATACAGCAGCCCGAGGACACACTGACATTCTCAAGGGCAAGGATGTCCGTAGGGAGTGAGACATGAACTCTTTCTGCGGTCGGATAGATGTCAACATGCAGTTCGGAAAGGTTCACTGCCATTCCGCCCACTGGACCATGCCTTTAGTGCTTTCTTATTAGGGTTCATACCACAGTAAAACATTTCCAGAATGAAACTTTGGCCAGGATTGTGAAAGCCAGACGGAAGGAAAAGACGATAACATCAGAGTGACCAGCACTCAAAGAATTCAATGTCAACATCAAAGCGGCCAAATTTAAAGAGATAGTTAATTAAAAAATTTAAAAACTGTCATCATTTACTCACCTTCGTGTCATTACAAACCCTTTTGACTGACTTTCTTCCTTGGAGCACAAAAAGAGAAATTTTGAAGAATGCCCTGGTTGCTGTTTTCTAAGAAATAATAATAAATGGGGACTTGACTGGGGACTTTGGAAACAAATTAATTGGTTTTATGAACTGATAAACGGATTCACCAAAAAGAACAAAAAGACTCAAAAGAACGATTTGTTCATAGACGATAGTATTGTGTATCGACGATAGTCAGAGATATTGCCTGTGGCTGATGCCTTTGACAATAGCAAGACGATTATTATTATTATTATTATTATTATCATCAGACTAGTATTTTTATATCTCATTAATATTAGGACTTATTTGTTCCATCATGTCTTTATACGCGTGTTTACAGTGTTGCGCATTATAACCAATCACACACGATTCTGTTGAGTTTATGAATGCAATGGCCAATCAAAGGCGTACAGATGAGTCATCTCTGAAACACCAGAGTTTTGTTGAGTGCACGCTCGCTGACTGAATTCTGATCTCTCGCAAATTCTCTCATCATAAACAACAAAGTGCAGATGTACGTGTGATGTAAGTATAAGAGATTTATTCATCATACAGTGTAGATAGCTTCACTGATTATAACGGGAGTGTTTTTTAAAAGCTAGACTGAAGTCAGTGATGATGTTCTTTGATAATGTAAATGTTCTTTGCTCGTTTTCTGTAGCTGCTGTTTGAGTAACTAAGGAAATGTAAGCATTATAATTAGTAACTTACATTGTTTTTATTAAACAGTTATCATGTTAAGTACAAATTCATTCATATTACAAATGTTTTATGACGACATCCATATGCTACTTGACTAAAAGATATAATGTGTAGTTAATAGAGTACACTAACATTAGGCTGAACATGAACATGAAACTAAGGAAGTAAATAATTTAATAAATTAGCATGATAATATTGTGTATCGGCGATTTCACAGGCTGACGATAGGGTGATATGACTATGGAGCATATCACCCAACACTACATAAATCATACACTGCTATTTCTCTCATGAAGGCACTGGGAGGATGTTGCATAGAGTGGTTTTTATTTTACATTTTTTGAGCCTGAGAGCCCAAGTTCTCATTCGCTTATATATCGGCACCATACTGGTTACCCAATATTAGCGATTTTTCTAATGAATAATGTTGGAAATGCATAATTAAAATGAATGATTTCAATGTTATATTTGTATTTTTTGAAACAGTTTTTTTATTTATTTTTTTATTTAGACAACATTGGTGATGATCAAATTTTTTTTTTTTTATCAAAATGAAAAATAAAGTTTCAGTATTTAAATTTGGGTAATAGGGTACCTGTTGCTATTTATGCTGTTCAGAGTATAATTTTCTCAGGTGATAAATTAAACCAGTAGTACAGTTCTTCAACAATAAGCCGACTCTTTGATATTTCAGATGAACAAATTGTACATATTGCTATTCTATTAGTGCTGGGCGGTATACCGGTTCATACCGAATACCGGTGTTTATTTTTGTTATGATATGAATTTTTTAAATACCGCCATACTTATGCGTAACTCATACGTATGTCGCATAAACAACGTTCGGAACGCGACACTGTTTGAAAGGGGTTTCTCTTTTGAAAGGCTTTTCACTGTTGCACTGTGGTGAGGGAACAGCTGTATGTGTTACTAAGCGTGAAAGTAAGTCAATATACTGCAGTATTTCCTCTCTCAATCAGTAGAAAATATGGTTAACACCCGGTCATGCATAAAAAAAATACCGTCATGTACCGTGAAACCGGTATAATTATGAAAAATACCGTGATATAAATTTTTGGTCATACCGCCCAGCACTATATTCTATAATAATTTTTGGTCACAATCAATTGTTCATGCTGCTGACTTTTTTACCTGTTGTAGTTTACACAGTTGACACAGTCTAACAAGTCATCTGAGAAGTGTTCATTACTGTAAATATTACTTTTTTTTTAGACATGCCGAACCAATTTTTTTTTCTTCCTGTTTTGGATGATTATTTTTGATTGGCGAAATTATGGTGCATCACTAAACAAAACAGTAAAGAATTCTAACACCTGCCATTTATCTGTTACCAGCCATAAGATGAAAATAATTATCAGCTTATCTGTATTGTCCAGAATTTTACTTAATTGTAATTTTTTTTTAATTTTCTTTACTTTAAGTGGCCAAGATATTCTACAAAAATCAATCTTTTGTGTTCCACAAAAAAAAGAAAATCATAGAGCTTTGGAACATAATGAAGGTGTATAAAGAGTAAAATAAAGATTATTTTTTGAATGATCCCCTATTGTGAGCCAAGAACACTTTGGAAAAGAGTTAAAGGGAGCACTTAAGACATGATTACATGTTGGCATTCATATGCAATTCCTGTGTAATTCCCCACTTCTTACCGCAAACAAATTTCTCAACCCTCTGGCAGGCCTTTTTTTCTCAGTGTCAAATCAGGGTGGTAGTTTAATGGATTAGGAGGAAATAGGAGCTTGGGAGCAGAATTATGGCCTAAGGGCCTGACTAAATAGGCTCACTCACCATTCTTGCGCTCTTTAATGGGTGGAAGGCTCTGAGTGGGCTGCAGGGACAATTCCTCCAGGTCATGGGTCACCGCTTCGCTCCGTGGGCTCGGCACCAGTACCCCCAGTGCGCCCGATTTGCCCTCCACTCCCAGACTCTCCTGGGGCTCCATATCTCCTCGGGGAGGTGGGGGGGCTCTCCCTGGAAACTACCACAGCGGTACAGACGACTAGCGGGAATCTCGAACTACAGTCTGCCAGAGAGAGAGAGAGAGGGAGAGGGAGAGGGAGAGAGAAAAAAAAAGCTTTCAAGTGTTTTGCAGCCGTTATAAACATTAGAAAGCCCTAATGGAGCTGAACGTTGTTGTTGGGGTGTGGTGGCGAAACTAATTTACTTGTATGTGGTTGATTGTGAATAAACTTTAAATGGGCCAGAAATGCAGCTCAAAGGTTAATGTATCCATTTGTATCACACTGCTAATTTCCAGGACACATTTTGTTGTAAACTGGTGATGGTAAACTTAAGAAACACTCTTATTTCACAGAGCTTCCTTTAATAGCTTGATCAAAATCTGACCAGCCAACCCCCCAACCTTCAACTATCCACTCCAATGTATTTAATCAAATAAGTTGGATGGTCCTCCCAGTTAACCTATAGAGAAAGCTCTTAAATCCTTATGCTGATGTTTAAAAGTGCAAGTTGTATAAGTCTTGCTGTGGCTCCAATCCAAGACAAGTTATACGGGAGTGTATCCAGGCAGCACGTCAGGCCCAGCTGTTTAATGTGTTATTCTGACAGATGCTTTACATCTTGGTACATAGAAAGGCCACTTAGGACAACTTTGTAATATCTGCTCGATCTAATTTTGCAATGTACTGTACTGGAAATATATGTAACCACATTTCATGGTTCAGACATGGAGATTTACAAAACAAACATTGTAAATGACCACAGGGCTCCATAAAGTACAAGACACAGAATTCAAAACAAGTCACATCGCAAATTTATGATCAACATATCAGGAATACCTGTATGTATGTAGTTATGCTAAAAGTGATGTAGACTAGTGATGGATACTAGTCACTTACCCTAGTTAAATGGCCATAACTAAAATGTATATTGACCTGCCCTGTGGTTAAAGTTACGTTTACAATTTCAATGTCTATTAAAACTAAAAAAAATATATAAAACATTGTACTAATGCAAAGAAACTTTATTGGCTGGAGTTCTATTACTGGGATGCTGAACTTATAATTCTTAATTGCATTATTTCTAGCAATTCCAAGTCAAGAATACAAGGTTATAATATAATAACTGTAGCAACTCTAGATATATATTAAAGGGATAGTTGACCCAAAACAATGAAAATTCTGTCATTAATTACTAGGGTTGCAACAGTTCAACTTACTCACGGTTTGGTTTGTATCACGGTTTTAGAGTCACGGTTTTGGTACGGTTCGGTATGTGCTATGTTTAGGGAAAAAACTATATTGTCAAATAAAAATAAAGAAAATAAGAACAAATAATCTAACTACAAGTAACAGCACAAATAAATAAACAGTGAAAAAAGATACAAATAAAATAAACAGTGCTTTTCAGGTCTTTTTTTAGGTAGGTCTAACAGTTTTTAGGTACAGAAATTGAATAAAGTAATCAAATGTAAAACTACATTGCATATTTGACTGTATAAATTAAAAATTATTCCTTAATAAAGTTACAAAAGTTATTCAATCAAGAGTAGTGAGTGATTTCCGTGTTGTTGCCGTTTAATTAACTCTTAAACTGCTGTCACTTTAAGAGAACGCACTGATCCAGTGCACTGATACTGTTTGTTCAGCCGACTATGTCTGCTAGGATACTCACCAAGATGGGCATTTTGACATAATTTTTGTGTGAATTTGTCCATTCAAGCACAATACTTCAAAGAGAGCTTAATATTTGCGCGCGGGTTCACGCGCTTCGGATGAGCTCACACACCGATCTTCTCATTGCGCGCGCGAGTTTGCGTCTTCTGGCTCTTTAATATTTAAACTGGCAAGGCTTAAATGAGTTTAGTTTAAACACAGATAGCAACGTGTGCTGTTCAGGTCTCACCTGCGCTATCAACACGTGATGACGGCATAAATGACAGTTATTCCAGCATAAAGCACTCGCATTGATTAAAGAGTGATTGGTTTGTCCACGTATTGTTTTTTTCTCTCTCTCATCGCTCTTGTTGTAATGTATTGGGAAGCCAGAATTTGTATCCATCAACAGAAACATGCATTAGCCGAACTCTAACAAACCATATTACAGATGCATTGTCAGATTTAAGTTGAACCGCGGTCCTAGTGCATGCCGAACTGAGTGTGGAGAACCGTACGGTTCGATTTTTTACCGAGAACCGTTGCACCCCTATTAATTAGGCACCCTCATGCGTTTTTGGGCCTGGGAACATTTCAGTTGCAATGCTGTTCATGCAGGGTCAGAAAACTCTCGGATTTCATCAAAAATATCTTAATTTGTGTCTTGAAGATGAACGAAGGTCTTAGGGGTTTGGAACAAACAACATGAGGGTGAGTAATTAATGACAGAATTTTCATTTTCATCTAGGCCTATCCCTTTAATAACAATAGTAGCAAACACTTGAATGTAAATTTTCTCGATTCAGTGGCTCCAAAAATTATTTGGACACTAACACTTTTGTATTAACACTTAAATACACAAATAAATGGTGCAAGCGTTGTAAATTTGAATATAATGTATTTTGTATATAATACACAAATATGCAACACAAAAAAGACAGACTTATGTCCTATGCATCCACAAAAAAATCATATACTGATCAATCAATAATTATGAATGGTTCAGAAAAAGTGAAGCTAATTCTTAATAAAGCTCTATCATTATTTAGTTACACATGCAATTTGGTTTGAAATTTTTAATGCAATGAAAATCAAAAATAAATAAATAAATGCAATGAAAATTTTAATTGAAGGGTTATAAATATACAAGTAGTAAAACAGAAATGTATCATATCTCAACATAGCCTAAGAATCAAATTAAGATTCCAAAGTACACTTCTATTGAAAGGCCGAAGACAATTCAAAGATGCTTCTCTTTGGAATGCTAGAAAATTAATTTGATATGTATTGTGCATGATATCTGCTCAGAAAGCTCAGTCTGTTCTTTTTCCAGAAGGATGAGAATTAAAGAGGCAGCATAAGAGTAGACAGCTATGCAAATACAGGTGCATCTCAATAAATTAGAATGTCGTGGAAAAGTTCATTTATTTCAGTAATTCAACTCAAATTGCGAAACTCGTGTATTAAATAAATTCAGTGCACACAGACTGAAGTAGTTTAAGTCTTTGGTTCTTTTAATTGTGATGATTTTGGCTCACATTTAACAAAAACCCACCAACTCACTATTTGAGATGCACCTGTACATAGCTGTCTAAGACTAGTCCTGCACTCGGCTGTTCTATCCATCCATGCCAATCTGAAGACAAAGTGGAGTTTGTCAAAACCACAGCATCTGCTTATTCTACCCTGATTGAGTCGGTCTGGATAGCTTCTCATCAAGTTTTTATTCAATGTGATGGACTGGACAAATAAAAGACATTAAAAACCAAGCTTTTAAATCAATCGTATGAGCGAGGGTTTGTTTTGTTGTGAGAGAAGACTCTTGCTTCACTGATGTCTCAGAAAACACCCACCACCTTCTCATGGTGGTGCTCTTCTCACTGGAGACTTCAGTTCAACAGGCGCATCCCTACGTTACATGCTTTTGTTCTGAAGCCATGAGTCTCACAACAGCCAATGAGTGATTACGGGTTGGTGTTGACTTGGCACAAGTCTTCAAAACATCCTCCACCCACTGTAGGGTTATCTAGAAAAGTCTTGTTTCTATAATAGCCGCCATTAATAAAAAGCTCTTGTGACGTTATTACAATGCTGACGTGATGTGGAGCACTTCAGTGGTGGAGCGTACAAAAGATAACCCCAGTAAAATAACATTTGGCATAGTAGTTATTACTTTTTTGCCTACCATAAAACCTTGTTATCTAGTTTCTATCCTTCAATAGATGGTGCTATTAATAGTCCTCATCTGTTAGATTGCCTGGATAAATTATATTGTGTAAATACATTATATATATATATATAAAAATACATACATTACAAATAACAATGTGGCAGTATAGTACAAAGCCTCATGCAACAATCAATAATAGAATGATAAAACCCATCCCAATTTAATTTACAACTGTATTTTTAATCCTAACTGCCCATTCAAATTATGAATTACCTTTTGAATGAAATCTACAATGGGCTATATTAAAATCATTTGTAATTCTACTTCCCTTAAAATTAAAATACCTGTAACTATGATGGACAACTGACCAAAGAAAACCAGTTGATAAAACTAACTGTTTTATTGTTATGCTATTAAAAATGTCTACAACTGACAAAATGACAACTCTACAATAACTTTAATTCTAATCAGTACCTGCGGATGATTTACCGGTCATAGGAGAAGGATGCTTTGTGCCACAGTGCTCCTTATGAAGATCACTAGGTCATGATGCCTCTGAAACAAAAAGCAATATTCTGTCATTAGATGAAACAGAACAACAACAGGTTCAAGCGACATATATCGTCCCATTAGCAGTATTCCATAGGTGAAAGAAGAAACATTGCACCTCATCTGGTTGCAAAACAGCATATGAAGAAGTGGGCAAGGAAAGAGAAGGGTGGTTTGCATCTAATCAATGCAGTTGCTGTGGAAACGGTAATCTGCTTGTGTGCTGATTAATTGCTAAACAATAGGATGACAGATATTTATGGATGTGTGCCACTCCACAGAAGAGGCCATCGAGAGATATGGAAAACAAGCTAATGAGAGTCTGCACTCAAGCTTCAAACACAACCTCCGCAAACAAGGGCATTAATATTCATTAAAGAACAACAAGACAAACATTCAGCTGTGTTGCTCTCTATTGCACATCTGATATTTTGTGATTACATTTGATCTTTTTTGCACACTATCAGAAGCGACACGACTAAACTTTAAATGCAATCTCCAAACAAAAAAACTGCATCTTTGTATTTGTATGTTTGAAAATTAAGCACACTTAGTGTTATTTATATATATATATAAAAAAAAAAACACTAGAGATACACCAAAGTTAAAATTCTGACTAATACAGACAAGCTGATAATTATTTTGATGTTAATGCAGATAAATTACAATAAATGGGCAATATTACAAATGATATGCCATTCTGCATATTTATTTTCTACGTATAATTATATTCTAATCTGCTTGTGTGCTGATTAATTGCTAAACAATAGGATGACAGATATTTATGGATGTGTGCCACTCCACAGAAGAGGCCATCGAGAGATATGGAAAACAAGCTAATGAGAGTCTGCACTCAAGCTTCAAACACAACCTCCGCAAACAAGGGCATTAATATTCATTAAAGAACAACAAGACAAACATTCAGCTGTGTTGCTCTCTATTGCACATCTGATATTTTGTGATTACATTTGATCTTTTTTGCACACTATCAGAAGCGACACGACTAAACTTTAAATGCAATCTCCAAACAAAAAAACTGCATCTTTGTATTTGTATGTTTGAAAATTAAGCACACTTAGTGTTATTTATATATATATATAAAAAAAAAAACACTAGAGATACACCAAAGTTAAAATTCTGACTAATACAGACAAGCTGATAATTATTTTGATGTTAATGCAGATAAATTACAATAAATGGGCAATATTACAAATGATATGCCATTCTGCATATTTATTTTCTACGTATAATTATATTATGAAATATTATTACAATATAAAATAAATGTTTGCTATTTCAATATACTGTATATTAAAAAGTAATTTATACTTGTGATCAAATCAGAATTTTCAGCATACTATCCAGTCTTCAGTGTCACATGATCCTTCAGAAATCATTCTAATATGCTGATTTGCTGCTTAAGAAAAATATTCTTATTATTATCAATGTTGAAAACAGTTGCGCTGCTTAATAGTTTTGTGGGAAGTGTTATATTTAAAATAACAGCATTTATTTGAAATAGAAATCTTCTGTAACATTATTAATGTCTTTACTGTCAGTTTTGATTAATGCAACCTAACAAAATAACAGCATTAATTTCTTTCAAAAATGGCGAATAACCAAATTGCAGAAATATACACCAGTTTCATCTTCCATCTATTACTTTTGATTTCTTTAATGAATGTATAAAAGAATCCTAAATATGTGTACTTGAGGACTTCATACTTGTTGAGTTCACAACTACTTTCAATGGAATGCAGAGAAAGCAGATTAAGTGACTCTGTGATCTTGTTATCTTTTGCAAATTAAAAACAACAGAAAAAATGGCGAATAACCAAAATATACACCAGTTTCGTCTTCCATCTATTACTTTTGATTTCTTTAATGAATGTATAAAAGAATCCTAAATATGTGTACTTGAGGACTTCATACTTGTTGAGTTCACAACTACTTTCAATGGAATGCAGAGAAAGCAGATTAAGTGACTCTGTGATCTTGTTATCTTTTGCAAATTAAAAACAACAGGTTGATGAATGTCTTAACTCTTCCAGCCATACAAGCCCCGATGACTTGACTAAGCCTTGGCTGGTTTTCTTGCCTACTCAGATTCCCTGCTCTCAATCTTATTCAGTTGAGTTTAAAGACTTTCGGCGGTTTTCTCGCTAAGGATCAGCGGTAAGCCCCTCTCAGTGACACTCGGAGAATTCATCTTAGTCCAGCACAATTTCGAAACCTCAAACAGAATTACATGTACAATTTTGAAGAGAAAACTCGGGCCAAATTGGGACATCATTGTACCGCAGTCTGCCAGTAAACTCAATGGTCGGCTCACTGGATTCTTTGCGTTGGGATGCATTTTCACTCCACCTAGAATAGGAAGTGAAGATGTGCATGACTGAGAACTCAGTGTAAACAACTTTACTCTCCCTACGGAGGGAAATTGTGGTTAAACTTTAACTAATATATAATCACACATCGTAATAGACTTAATAAAACATTCATTTAGCAATTTAAAGGCTGGAAAAAGGGATTGCCGATGAGAGTGGAAAGTTCTGTTGGTCATCTACTGACATTGCGCAAATTAAAGGACAAAGATGCAGCTCATTTGCATAATGACTAGTGCAAATTAGCAACTAGGTTAGGTTACTTTATTCATACCCGCAGGTAAATTTGTCTTGCAGTAAAATGACAGTGACATCCATCCATAACACAAATTCAAAAAACACATTTAAAAATATAACACAACAGATAACAAAAATATGATACAAGATACATGATATAAATTCTCTAAGACTCCCCCATCCTACAGCTTATTTAACATAGTTAAAACAGCGGGAACAAAGCTGTTTTTATATCGCTTTGTTTTACACCTTGGGATTAAAAACCTCCGCCCAGAGGGAAGAAGCTGAAACTCACTGTGCAAAGGGTGGGAGTCATCATTTAAAATAGAAGTAGACATTCGTTGCAACTGTCTGGTATACAACGATGTTGGATCTAACTGTGACTCACCCACCAATCGACTAGACCATTTAACTATCTGGTTTAAAGAATTTCTTGCTTTTAAAGATGTTTGACCAAACCATACGACCAGAGAAAAAGACAAAACTGATTCAATAAAAGCACGATAAAACATGATCATTAACGTTCGGTCAATATGAAAGTGTGATAATTTCCTCAAACAATACAAGCGCTGGTGACCTTTTCTACACACAGCTGCACAATTAGCTTCAAATTTTAATTTATCATCAATAATAGTCCCAAGGTATTTATAAGATTGCACGTACTCAATAGTCTGGCCTTTTATTAAAGTAGCTTTGTTCATGCGAGTCTTCCTCCTAAAATCAATAAGCATATCTTTAGTCTTTGATATATTAAACTGGAGGTAGGATTTCTCACACCAGTGAACAAAGTCATCAACAACTGGGCCGTGGCTGATCTCATCCTCCTGAAGCAGACTAACAATAACGGAATCACCCGCATATTTTATGATGGTTCTATTGTCATAGCTGCTCTGACACATATTTGTGTAAAGAATAAATAATAAAGGTGACAGCACACACCCTTGAGGAGACCCAGTAGCTGCTATCACAGCCATGTCAAGCACAAAATGGGTTAAGACGTTATTAAAATAATGACACAAATGCCAGTAAATTGATGAACGCAAACCGTAGTAAATCACACTGCATGATTTATTTAAATGTTCTTTTCCCATAAATTTTGCGTCTAAAAGAGAAACTCCAACAAATGCATATGCAGCCACAAAAATAACGGTGTCCATGCCTTTTTATTGCTAATTTTTCACTGCGTGTCTTTCGTAAATTCTGTCAGAGTTTGCGCCGGTGCGAGCTGTTGGTAAATGTGGCCCAGATGTCATAAACTTGACACCTTTTGTAAATGATTTCAGAGAAAACCATAACACACTAAACGGCTGAGTATCACACACTATTCAAGTTGTCCCAAACACAGCAAAGTCCCACAGAGCATGTGGCTTGTTGCAAATGAAAACAATGTGTTCTCAAACTAGCTCAAAATATTCTCCGATAGAATATCTCTGGATAAAACTAAAGTTTGAAGATAAAAAAGCATGAGTCCATCATAAACTACACAATTTCCTGTGAAATCTGTCAATTCTGACAGCCCAAAATCTTTACACTGGCTCTGGCTTTCAGCAACTAGCGTTGACTCAAATCAGGGCAAAAAATGAGTACACTGTCAGAAATAGGGGTACAGTAGGAGTCCATTTCTGTCCCCCAAGGTACAATCTACACTAATGTACCCCATAGGGCTTATTATTGGACCTCAAGGTACATGTATGTACCTTTTTGAGGGTCAAAAAGGTACATATGTGTTCCCAAGCATTAAAAGGTACATATATGTACCGTTTCTTTTAAAGGTTAAGGTACAATATCAAGAGACAGCCTCTGCTAAGCCAATTTTTTTGTAAAAGTTGTTGTTTAAAGATTTGAATGATACCTTAATTATTTATGGTAGATAAATAACTCCCTAAAGGTACAATTATGTACTTTAATTTCTGAGAGTGTAGTATTCCAGCCTGAAGTCTCTTAATGGAGTTTGTTATGTTGAATGGAAAAAATCCTAGTTGTGTTTCTCAATTGTGTTTATTTAAAATAGTTAACAGTTGTTCCGTAAAGTCCAAACACCTATCCAAGTGGCGTTTGGCGGGACACATTATGGCCATATTACCGCATTACTACACAATGACAACTTCTCTTCACACAAACACTGAATGACTCATCCACAGTAAAATGGAGGGTGTCAGCTGTGCTGCTAAAAATAGCTGTGAGACCAGCCAGAATAAGCATCAGAAATTAAAAAAGAAACCCCTCCAACGCTTTTCCATGTGCGCGAGGAGAATGCAGGCATCAGGAGTCAGCACAAAGAAAACACTGTGAGACCCGCTCGAGTGAGGAAAGGAAAGAGAAGGGGGAAAATTCCTTCACCATTCCCAAAAATTATCCCACATTTGAACTTTCCCAGAAAGCCAGCTAATTCCCAAGAGGCCGTTCCTGAGCACAGCGCACACGGCTCCCACTTCCCCTCATGCCATTGGCCCAGCACAGGGAGTCGGTAGCGAGGGATCAATAAACCAGAAATAAAAATAGCCTGCTTTCAACTGATGGGGTCTATTAGACTGGATTTAAATTAATCCACCAAAAGATGCAGATTTACTTAAAAGTAATGCTCATCAAGGATTTAATGCATTTTAAAAGCTGTGACCATACAATTACTTCTCAGAATCTACTTACCTTGATTCAACCCAATTAGTAAGACATGCAGTTACTATTTTTAACAGGTTTCACTGTGAAACTTACATTATCACAAACCTCACGCATCTTTTTTAGAACAGCAGATGTTTGGCAGTCTGATTTATGATCGCTAACCATTTTCATCAAGCAACAATGTGGCAAACAATGACATAAACTTGTTGATCATTTTGTACAATGGCCAGAGTAATGAAATAAGCGGTTTCATAGTGTTCTTTTTGGGTAAACAAACATATCAACACCAGACATCAGTGCTACAGCTCCTACTCAAAAACAAACTGGAACAATGACAGCTGGGTCAATAACAAAATAGTGTTCAAGATAAAAAAATGAGAAAAATCTTTTAAAAATCTATGTGCCTACTCTGTGTATTCATGCTGGTTTTCATGTGGTTTTGAAAACAAACTTTTTATATTTCATTTTCATATTTTTCCACATTATTTTAAGATTTAAATGTTCAGCAAAGGTTTAAATTATATGACTGTAAAATTCCATGAAGTATAACCATAAAGTAAAAAGTAACAACATATTTTTCTTACATCTTGAATACATGTGAGTGTTCATCTTAATCATTATTTTCAAAAAAGTTTTTAAAGGAACAGTTCACGCAAATATGAAAATTTGCCTAAAATGTACTCCAAGATGTAGATGAGTTTGTTTCTTCATCAGAACAGATTTGGAGAAATGTAGCATTACATCACAAACAATGGCTTGAAATTAAAAAACCACAATGATGGATTTGTTTCTTACAAACACACAGCTTTTCATTTCACACAATGTTAATTAATGGACTGGAGTCGTGTGGAATACTTGTGGATTATTGTGATGTTTTTATCAGCTGTTTGGACTCTCATTCTGACGGCACCCATTCACTGCAGAGGATCCATTGGTGAGCAAGTGATGTAATGCTACATTTCTTCAAACTCATCTACATCTTGGATGGTCTGAGGGTGAGTACATTTTCATTTAATTTCATTTTTGGGTGAACTAGTCCTTTAAATATATTCTTCAAGGCAAATTTAAAAAAAAATTTTTTTTTTTACAAATACCGTAAATATTAAATCAAACATCATAATTTTTTGGGGGGAGTCACACCACATAACATTTTGCAACCTGAACCCTGCCATGCAATAAAATCATCTAATAATTTAAGAAACTTCTTGACCTTGACACTCAGTCATGAGGGTACTTTTATGATACCATTTCCTGTTTTATGTTTTTTGCCCCCTGCATGCTTCTGCATTAGGTTGCACCACATGGTTTTGATTTGGCAGACACTATTTATAAAATGTAACAATACATGCTAACTACACTTTTCCATTCTGTAATATATTGAAAGAGGTGGTTCAGAGAGAACAGATCTATGAGGAAAACAGGCGCAACCCAATGAGTCATTTCGTGCAACTTTATCAGAACGCATCCCACGCAAGTTCGTTGACCATTTGAGAGGCTTAAATTTTGGTTGGCAGTGCCGACTTACTAATTATGTCGACGGCTTTTGATCTAAGTACACCTGAGCATGGATATGAATCTGGTTCATCAGCATCAAAGCCTGTGAGGTCGCATCACATGACATCTCAGTGGAATGTTATTGTGTCATGTGAGCAGAGAGGGCAGAAAAGTTATTTGTCCTGATTCTCTTTTCACCAGGCATCCGTTTGAAATATATGAACTAAAAAAAGCCAGGAAGATGTTTAGTTTAACGGAATAGTGATATCTACAAAAGCAATGACCTCATTCTTGTTTGTGAACTTTAACTTTCCAAACTACAGTTCAAATGCACAAAATAACATTTACCCGATGATAACAGGTAACGATAACAAGCTTGAGGCCGCAAACTTTAAGTCAAACAGGCGATGCAGCAGACTAAGAAAACAATGTCCAGACCACCAGGGACACATCATGCTTACAGCCACTATAAATACCAGGACCTACAGCTTTCAAGTCCTGCTGTAGTCTAAAGGTCCTGTCTTAACTGTAGACATGCGGACATTGACCAGATGATGGAAGGTAGTATCAAAACACGGGCCGTTGTTTTACACAAAGTCAGAATTCCTTTAAATTGATTCACAGACAGGGAACAGTCCTCACCATTCATCTTTTCAGCACACGCTGTTTGAGGAAAGACACATGTATGTGAAATATGCTGTGGTGAACTGACAACTGCAGTGGGTAAAATTCAGCCTGTCATCAATAAAGAATGCTTTATTTTTCAAGTCAACGTCCATAGCATGAGCTATATTTAGGCAAGAAAAGACTATGTTGTTCAGATTATAATATCTGATCATTATCATCAGATTAAATCCAAAAACGTGAGCCGAGAAGCTGTGAAAATAAGATGGAATTTTATGCTATGCAGGCTAACTGGCACGGATAAACAATTAAAACATGTGGCTCTGCCGTTTAAGAGCTGCTTGCAAATATTATTCTTAAATCATAACACACATTCACTATTTTTGACAACTCTGTTTGTCTGGTTTGCCTGACATATTTCCATTAATATGACAAGTTTAATTAAATATCAATAATAACAATCTGGTTCATCCAGTCCTGGGTGGTTGTCATGCTCTTCTTGACAACAAATTTTTGAAGTGTGGATCCGTGCACACTCTGGCTGCGTTCCAGTTCACTTTTAGACATGCACTTCCAAACTTCCCTAAGCACTTACCCTCGGGGGAATCCCCGCCGCCATTTTGAAGTGTATTCCACTTCATCAAGTGGACGAGGGAAGTTTACATGCATGGACATACCCTCGACCCCTCGATTTTGACCGAGGGAGCGAGTCTGCTTCATATGCACACTTCAGGCCGCTCTGTAGACCACAATGCAACACGACTATGACATCATCGCAAATCGTGTTTAATTAATCCCCACCCCAAACAACTCTATAATATATAAAAAAATTTTTTTTTACATTTATAACAGCCCAAGCATACCTATATACATATAGAATGCTGCACCAAAACAAATTCGTAAGGGGAAATGTAAACAATAAACCAACTGAATAGCGGATTCTAAGTGATCAAGGGCTTAGGACGTTCCAGTTCAGCCCATTCCAAGGAGCGAGTCTGCTTCATATGCGCACTTCAGGCCGCTCCATAGACCACAATGCAACACGACTATGACATCATCGCAAATCGTGTTTAATTTATCCCCACCCCAAACAACTCTATAATATATAAATGATTTTTTTTTTACATTTATAACAGCCCAAGCATACCTATATACATATAGAATGCTGCACCAAACAAATTCGTAAGGGGAAACATGTAAACTATAAACCAACTCCATAGCGGATTTTAAGTGACCAAGGGCTTAGGACGTTCCAATTTAGCCCATTGCAAGGGTTCCGCCAGTAGTGGGCACTCGTGCAACGTAATAAATGACGTACATCCGAGTAAACGAGACTGAGGGAAGTTAGTGAGTGAAGGGCATTAAAAAAAGTGAACTGGAACGCAGCCTCTAATGGCTAAAATTACCCACAATCCATTGCGCTTTGGCGAAGATTCGGTCCAGAACTACAAACACGAATAAAACGCGTTAGAAAAACTACAAACGTGGCGGATGTGCGCGATCGACGGTTAGGTAGAGAGGTTTACAAAAAGGGCACATTGAGACGCAGCAATAGCCTACATTTATTTTTCCTTAGATAATTTAATGTGAGGTGTTTTTATGTTAATTTTTTTTATTAACCCATGATATATCAAATGTAAATACAATACAGCATAAAAGCAGGACATATGACTGTAATATAATAATATAAATATACAAAAATATAATAATAATAATAATAATAATAAAACAGATAACATATTACAGGGGAATCCTGAAAAATGCACAACAAGTTAGTGTTTCCTCGCCTTAGTATTTTCCGATACTGAGAGCGTTTCAAAATATTGTTGCAACTCTCTAATAAACACCTTAAAATGCGGCTTATTATAGCAATAGCCTACATATACTAACGCTAATAAAAAGGGATGACGTCATCTGAACTTTCTACCGTGAACTAACGCCACTATTATCAATGTAATAGTGCTTCTAAATATTCCCTAAAATTACTCTAAAGAGTTCCAAAAGTAATATGACACTGTTCCAGCAGCAAAAAAATAAAAAATCCACATAACAGTCCTTCTGTTACATAAGAGTTCAGTTTATGACTCATTATTCTGAATTATCGCGCAGGTATTTCATATAGTGTCACTTTCAATGTATTGCAATGACTGGAGTGTCATTCACTCACGCGCTCGGCAGTATACATTTTATAGATACACAAATAAAACTGGATAAATATCTTACCATTTTTTGCCTTCCAAATTAAACGTGGTCCCTTTGATGACACATCCAGAATACAATAAAATCCCGACAGGACATTTATTTTCTTTCTTTACTGGAGTAGCAGTTGGTACAGTGGGTAAAGATGGCCGCTCTTATTGTGTTTAGCCGGTGATGTAATGAAGTTGTGTTAACCCTTCACAACACTTCCGAAGCCAACTGACACCACATCGAAGTGAAACGTAATAAAAGTAATTCATATAGTAATTCATATAATATCTTATTCTGAAAGATAAACGTAAACAACCGTCTACACGGCAGAAATGCACATATATGCCCAGAGGTGTAAAAAAAAAAAGTGATATTATAGCCTACTATAAGGAAAATGTGTCAAAATTTATTTTAATTAAAAGTTTAAATATCTTATCAAAAGCTTGTATTTTTGTGTTAATGAAGGAAAAAAAAAAACTTTTCACATTCAACTGTAGGCCTTTCCCCCCTAGCTTTTTAAAATGGCTGATAAAGATTTTCCCTCTCTCTGATGCACCCATGATTGAGTCAAATCATGTTAAACTTAAATCTCTGTCCTGAAAACTATTAACTGAAATTTATCAAAGCAGATTTTTATAGATGTTTTACATTTAAATATATTTATAGAAAGGTCTTATGGAGTAAAGTACTCTTTTTTTTTTAATTAAATAATTACTCAAGTACTTTGCACCCCTGATAATGTCATAGGACTGGTTATTAGTGTGCTGCTGAGAGATTCATAAGCTCATATCAGTTACAGACCCTGATGTGAACCGTTAACCTATACTGTTAAATGTCTGTCATCAGTCCAAGTGAGCTCAGTAAATAAACAGGCAAAATTACATAAAGAAAAATAAAATGAAGTTATGAACGAAGATAAATATAAAATAAATAAATAAATAAATAAAAATACACTGAATTTTATCTCTGTGTTTGTATGACACTGCCATCTGGTGTGCTTTCAAAGTCAGCTCATACCCGACATGTGATCATTATGAACATATCCAAATATAATAACAGGAACATTTCTTGAGGAACTGATACAGCTGTGGGAAGCATACCAACTCACTTACACAACTAGATTCAAGTTCCTTGTCCCTGAATGTTTAAAACAGCATTAGTTAGTGTGTTTCCACAAGGTTGTTGCAGTATCTTTTCAAAACAGTAATATGTTGCATTTAGGTACCATTTAGTAAGTAAGTAATATACTTGTAAGTAGTATATCCAATACGTTAGGTACACATATGTATACAATATGTTTACAAAGATGTACCTTTTGAATGGGTACCTTCCCAGTGACAGCTTTTGTATCTTTTTGAGAGTTAAGTCATAAGTTACTCACCCTTTACATTCCAAACCTGTATGACTTTCTTTCTTCTGTGGAACATAAAAGAAGATATTTTGAAGAATGTTGTAGGGGAGAGCGGGGCACAAAGTAACACTTTTTGACTTTCTCAAATTGTGTAAATCCACATGGGGTTCAGAGTATCATTTTTTTATCCACAGTAATTTCACACTTGTCTAGTACCAATATGTCGCTTTGTTTCATAATTACAGTGTATAAGTTTTTCTTTATTTACCCTCAAAAATTGGAAGTGAAATGTGACAACATGCCCCATAGGTGATTCAAAAAACTTTTGAATTTTGGTGCACTTTTATTCTCTATATAATGTTGATATGGTAACTAGTAAATGTGTGGAAATATTTAAACCACGTGTGTTACAACTTACCCCGCGCTCCCCTAACCAACCAGTTTTGGTTCCAACTGGCTTCCATAGTATTTTTTGACCATACAGTGGAAGTCAATGTGAATCTAAATTGTTTTGTTGCCAACATTCTTCAAAATATCTTCATACAGTTTTGGAATGAAATGAGAGTGAGTAGATGATGACAGAATCTTCACTTTTGGGTGAACTATCCCTTTAACACAAACATGCAAAGGCAGACCAAGTATTAAGATATTCAATCTTAATAAGTATTCACAATATTTGTGATTACCTCAGTATGTTTGAGAGTAAATGCATGTGATATCTGATTGCTTATTGTAAGCCAGTGTTTATGATGTTGAACTGTGGCCTCAAAGTAACATGAGGCAAGTTGTGAACCCAGCAGGTAAATTCTTAAAAGTTTACAATATAATACTTGAGATGAACCATACAACTCTTGGTTTACCCAAACACTTCAGGATCACACCATCTTCATACACTTTGCAAGTGGCCTTATGTTTCAACAGCCATTTAGAAAGCAGTAGATTACAGATAATTTGCAAACCAAACTGGAGCCAACATAATAACAAACTTCAGTAACATGGTATGAGTCATAAGAAAGGTTGCTCTTTTCCCCTCTCTCTTTCTGTTTCTCCTGCTTCCGTTTCTCATGTCTACTCCCACATAGTTGGTTCAGGATGATCATGTCCCACATTGCCCACACTTCCCCACTGATGGAGGTGTGAGGCTTAATCACGGCCCAGAATAGTGTGTGGTTTGGGGAAGGGGGGAGGCAGGCTGGATGCCAGCCGTATCTCTGAGAGTGCTGGCGTGAGATGTGACTCATTGTAGTGCTGTGTGTCTTTACATTCTGCTTCACACATAGTGAGATGATGGGCAGGATAGAGCCCCAGCTGCATGAGAGACTTTGGGGCACCAACCACTGATTATTAATTTAGATTACAATCTATGAATGCAACCACAAAACAGTCTGAGTTTGTGTTGCAGCTGCTCCCTGGCGATCAGGTCATGCACACATGTTGTGCACCAACGTTCATGTTTGATTCTAGCCAATTCCCAATTATGATTCCTCTATAAAAATGATTTTTCGAAGTTGTACATAAAACACGATTAACATAAAACAGATGATTAAGGGGAAATAGACTGAAGAATGAAGGAGTGCTGCTCTTCAAAATTAATCTGGCTTACTTATGCACCATTTGGTTTTGAAGTATGGTGGTGGGAAGACTGACCCAATGATTTTCAACACCTGCTCTTTCTTTTCCGGGTGACAGTTTGCGTCCAGTCAGAGACAATAATGTAGACTGCAGCACACAGTTTACCATTTAGATTTATCTGGTACCACTGCAAAAAAGGAAAAAAAACTTGAGATGATCATTTAGGATTCTTCTGATGGTCAGAATGGTTGAATCTTTTTTTTGTAAGAAAAAGAAAGAAAGAAATTAATAATTTTATTCAGCATGTATTAAGTTGATCAAAAATAACAGTAAAGAAAAAATAACAGTTTTAAATGAATGCTGTTCTTTTGAGCTTTCCATTTATTGAAGAATCCTAAAAAAAAAAAAGCATCACTGTTTCCACAAAAATATTAAGCAGCACAACTGTTTTCAAGACTGGAGACTGAGAAATGATGCAGAAAATTCACAGGAACAAATTACATCTTAAAATATATTCAAACAGAAAACAGTTAAGTTGTAATAATATTTCACAATATGAAAGCATCTGTTTAAAATAACAGTCCGTGTTGAATTGATGAACATGCCTGGATAATACAAATATAATTATTATTCAGCATTGATATCATTTGTAAATTACTCTTACTTGCGAACAAAGATGCTTAATAATAATTTGAATTAGCAGTGCTCACAGATATTATTATAACATGCATAAGAATGACTGCGTTATTGATGGAGCGCTTGTGCATTTACTATGCCAGCAGCAGCAGAGGGCAGTATAGTATTTCTGTTTTGTTTAATGAGCTACTTTTTTTTTTTGGACATTACAAAATTAGACATTCTGTTTTGATCCTTTAAACCAGAACAAAATGATTTCTCAAGGAAAAATGCATGTCTCGGTATAGAAGAAACTGGGGAAATCAAAAGGTTTACCAAGAGAATTAGAAACTCTAAATTTCACTTGTTGGTCACGTCTTGCTCAAAACAAAGCATCAGTGGCAAATTATTCAAATTAGTCTGTCAAATTAATGTATTTGACTGCATAAAGAGAGTCACAGATTATCATATTCTCATTATAATACCTGTCACCATGCTGACATTCACACATTTATTCTACTTTATATAATAATCCAAGGAGAAATGATCCATGATACTGACAATGACCCTCGTTTCTAATGATAAAATGGATCAACAAATGCACAGACATATGTACAAACACTCCACTTAATTGTGAAATGTTTATTGATGGGAAAGCATATGCTGTCTGACGGCATCAGAAAGTGAGTATGGGGGAGGATTGGGGAGCTTTATTTGGTGTGTAATGAAACCCTTCTCAATGGATGGAGGCTGAAAGCTGAACATCTGCATCTAATTTAGTGCCCCTCCTATGATGACGCCAATACGTCGCCGTTTATAGCTGAAGTGATCATGCCATCCATGAGTTTTTACAGTGCAACAGTTAAAGTCCTGCCAGGCTTCAGAATTCACGCCACATCCTGCAAGCGTCCATAATGACATCCCATGGTGGAGCGAAATGTCGCATTGTTAATTGACATGCAGTGTGCGCGTCCATCATGCCAACTAGACTGGAGGGTGTGAGTGTGACCTTGAAGATTCGACTAAGTGAGAGCAGAAATATGAAGACCCAACCGTTGGGTTGAAGAAGTTGGGTTATTAGGGATTTATTAAAGCACAGAAAGTTAAAAAAAACAAACAAACAAAAAAACAACATGAAGTGACAGCATAAGTGAAATATGGTGTCATCATCCAGAAAGTCAAAAATAATAGTAGGCCTAATATATATTTTTAAAACATTTACTCAGTTGCTCTAAAGCCGTATTTTTTTCTTCATTAAAATTTCCCATCGATCTCACGTTTAGGTTCAGATAGAAAGGAAAGGGAAGTCTGTTCCTTACACAAAATCTTATAACTTCAGAAGACTATATAGCACACCAGACATTCAGCATGGATACTTTCATGATAGTTTACAGTAATTGTATTATTGTGTGTGTGCGCGTGTCCTTTTTTGGAACATTTACAACATCACTGTAAATAAAGAGCTTTGTAAAAACTATTTAAAAAATCCTGCTGTTCCACAGAAAAATAACGGTGGTAAATAATGTAATTAATGACTTAATTAAAAATTTTCAGTAAGACCGGAAGGATTTTTTTGTTTTTTAAAGAATATGCTCACATATTCTCTTATGCTCACAAAAGTTGCATTT